CTGGGAGCATTCCTTTGCATGGCACGAAGTACGTTACGTGGTAATGAACAACACTTTCCATGGCTCCTAACAAAGAGATGTTTCTCTTTATTAAGAGAACAAAGTGGGGGGTTTACAGATAATATCTGAGCTTATCATTGAGCTGCTCGGCCTCCTCATCTGTGTGCCTCAGCTTGTCTCAATCAGTGCTGGTTTTCTCAGCAATAAAGCATTCCGTCTCTGTGAGTAGGTTTCTTCCTACACCCTGTAAACAAGAAGATGAATATCTTGTTACATGTGCTAAAATGCATTGAGTGAAATGAGCATGGCTCTGCTCCCTGTCACTAGCTCTAATCAGCTCTTCACATCTACACTGAACGTGTCCACACACACGGCATAGCAAGGAACAGGGATATTTGTGACGACACATTCCTGTGAGAAGCAGCAGTTCCAACAGCCCAGTGACCCAGCGATTCATTCCAGTTTCTTTGTGCAGAGACCTTTTGTTTTCCCTACTCCTTCACCATGTGCTAACAATTAGATAATGACTCCATAAATGCAGAGAAAAAGCCATGTCATGGGTGGTGGGTGGTTTGTTTTCTTAGTTCTTTATTGAAAACATATGGAGATGTTTATATATAAATAGAAAACAATTGAATGCTGCCATCATGTTAGCAGCAGCGAATAAAATTCTACATGAATAGAAATCAAACATTTCTCTACCTATTCCAGAATTCTGGTTTACTGATATCTGTACATCCTGTCTTATTTGGCTTGAAAAGATGTTTTATTATTTTAGGCTTTTTATTCCTAGTCAAAAGGAAACTGTGGAGCAAGAGTTTTTTGTTTTTGGTCTTGGTTTTTTTCATTCCTCTCTTTGCTTAATTAAATTACTTTATTAACAGGAACAATAAATTCTGTCCAAGTACACCTTGTATTCTGATCATGAAAAATGTTTAAGAATCTATACATTTACCTAGAGTCTCTGTATTTCTGAATTAAAAGTGAGGACTTTCAGGCTGATGGAAGTGATTTTCAGGAGACAGGCTAGTAGAGAGTTGAGAGCACACATTTGGGCAGGCAGACCTCTGGGTTTGAATTCTGACTGCACCACTTAACTAGGTTGGTTAACCTTGAGCTAGTTAACATGACTAAACCTCAGTGACTTCATCTGTGAAATGAGAAATTTGATAACACTTATAGAATGATTGTGAACATTACATGGGATGAGCTATAAAGTGTTTCACACAGTGTCTGGCTTGTAGGAAGCATCGCAAAAATGCTGCCTATCATTATTGTAATCAGCTAACAGAAGGGTTTATCTTGCAACCATCCTTGAAAATCTGAGAGGTATTGATGCCCGGTGCTAAGAACAGCAACAATAATAATGCTACTGTTTAGCAAGTGCTGTTTATGCACTAGCTTTACAATGCACTGTTTCTTACAAGCTCATGATCTGGGCACCATTATCATCCCCATTTCACGGAGGAAGAAACTGAGGTTTCATAGGCTGCCCAAAGGCATACAGTTAAAGATTGGTTAATATGAGGATCAAAAACCCAGTCTGAATAATTCTAAGGCCTGTACTCTTTATCTCTTTGCTAAAACGGTCAACACATATATAGCCTATAGCACCTTTGAAAGCTCCTTTATTTACATATTTTCTGTGTTCCTATCAACATCCTGTGACACTGCATAGTGGCATTCATAAACTGTGAAGTCCCCTGTCCCTAGGACATCTGTTCATTTGCAGTTAAAGAGGGCCAGGAAGCCCTTAATGAACATGTTGTAAGAAGCCCTGGGCAGTCCAATTCATGCAACCATTTTCACTTTGGTCTACAAAAGCATTTTCTTTAAAGGTGCTTGAAGCTCCATATGCACAAGTTTATTATTCAAGCTTTTGTCCCAACCACCTTGGAGAGGCCAAGGTGACATGACTGGGGGACAGAGGGAGAGGCCAGTCACCCCCCTCAGCAGCCCAGTGTGTGAGTTGCTGAGTCAGGAATAGAACAGAGTGAGTCCAGGGCTATGTCCACCTCACCAGGCTTCTTATTAGCGTTGAGTCTGACAGCCAAACTGCTAACTAGCTCCACTTTTAACCCAAATAGTACATAATTAGGAGCACTTTGCCTGATTTTCTTGTTGGAAGAATGAAAGTGGTCTGCCTGCAATATGGGAACCCTCACATATAAGATTTCCCAATTCTGTTTTCATTTGCAAAATATATTGCGATTTTTCTTTTCTCCTTTTTGCAGGGAAGGGAAGGAGTTTGGGGTGAGGCGTATGGCAGGGCATACAATGGAAGACCAAATTATATGTCAACCTGCTGACCTAGCACTAATGTACTAGTTAAATGAGCCCTGAATGTAAGGCATTAATGCAAATATTTTGCATGTTATTAACTCTAATGATGCTACCATAATGCAGTAGCCACAGCTGAAAGCTGAGGTGGCAGTTTTTATTATAAATGCCTTGAGTCTTTCACTGAAAATCACCATGAAGACAGAAATTCCTTAGAAGTGAGAGTAGAAATATGAGCAGGCTTCTGCTTTTGTTAACCTTCTCATCATTAATAATAACAAAGGAAAAAGTGTTGGTATCCCAGAATCCTGCATTCAGCTGGCAACATCCTCCTTTATACCCGGCCACTGTTCTTGCCTTTGTAACAACCGTACACTTCCATGGAAAATAGTTAGGAAATCATTATAAAATGGAACCTGTTTTGGAAAAAAATACTTATGCAACCCTCGAAATTGTTATGTAAGTGAAAAAATCATTCTAATGCAGAACAAGTGTGACTTACCACTCCAGTCCCGAATTAGTGATGGCAGTGAGGAGTTTTGGAAAGCATAGAATTTCAGAGCCAGCACTACCATTTGCCACCTGTGTGGCTTTGAGCAAAGCATTTGTCCTCTCTGATCCTGAGATCCTTTCCTATAAAACAGCATCAACGATAAATCCATTTTGTCTATTTTATGAGTTGTCAAAGAACACTAAAGATTGCAAATGTGAAAGCTCTCTGGAAGCACTGTACAAATGTTACTATTGATTTTTATGAGGTGAACAATGAGGAATGAATAGCAGTGCTAAGAATAGCTTGGGAATAACTCAACCAAAGTGGTAGTTGTTCAGTCCTGAAGAAGTGGATAGATCCTGGGAAACAGATGGCCTGGCCAGTCTGAGGACCTTAAACTTGCAAGTCTTAGGGCTGGGTAGCAATTTAACTGTGCAACCTGTCAAGAACCTGTTATATTCTAAGCTCTTGCAGTGACGGTATTGGCTACGTTATGTCACTGAGTGCATTCTTACCAGACTTTGTTTGGAAAGAGTTTACAAACTAGTATCCTGGCAGAGTTGCTTGAGATTAGAGTGCTGTGGTTTCACACCAGGGAGAGCAGTGTTTCATGTCTTCTTCTATTACCCCCTCCCTGGGGATTCAACAGATGGAGCAACAACAAAATCAGAAACCCAAGACAAACCTGTCAGTTTGATGCCTTTAAGCTTTGGCAGAACTCACAATTCAAATAAGATAGCATATCTGTTTAGAGGGAAAAGGTGCAAAGAAATTAGTTCATAGAGCGTACTTTCTTTTGCCTGGGCATGGCTAACACTATCTGGAGATCCCTGCCGTATAAGACGAATTGTATATTGGTACACAGTAGACACATAAGAAAATTGGTTGAAAGAATATTGCTAGTAGAAATAATTGAACAACTTTAATATAGGGCTTTATATTTCCCTCCATTATATTTCTTGAATCCTTCCAAGTCAACTCCTGAGTTTGGCAAATCCCAGGATGAGTAATTGTGCATCTCAGAATGGTTATGTAACATGCAGACCAGACCCTAAATCAGGCAAGGCAACATGTGTTTTGGCAACAACTTGTGAGGAGGTAAAGTATTTGGTTATTTTTGTTTGATAGTTCCCAGAGAGAAAGCACAGAAGCAACAGATATGAACCAAACATTTTTCTCCTTTGTTTAGGTAAATATTTCCAACTACAGTCTGGTGATGGAGTCTGATGCAGGAACCTTCTTACCTACTGGGCTGCAGTTCACTGGCAGCGACAAGGCCAGAGCCATCATGAAAGAGGTCATGAGCCTACTGCAGCCCCTCAATGTCACTCAGGTCTTGAGCCATGGAGAAGGGGAAGACATTAACTTATGGATCCAAGCCGGAGTGCCCGGTAAGACCAAAAGATGAAATTGGTGTTCCTTATATACTGCTACTGATTTAAAATAACATTTCTGTTTTAATATGGCACAGTGAATACTGGTAGGCCAGTTAATGCATAGAAACCTTAAGCTTTTCTCTGTAAGGCATAACCTGATGACTTTCAAAATTGGAATACTAGTACTCACCTTATATTTGCTCACCAGTCTGTCTTCTCTTTCTAAATTATAAGCTCCTCACTCCCAGAGATTCTGATTTAGTGATTCTGGAATTGGGGCTAGAAATCTGCTGTTTTGTTTTTCAAAGAGGTATCTTTGGTGATTGTAGCACAAGTGATCTCACAACAAAAATTTGAGAAATAGAGTAGAAGACAATATTGTTATTAATATTCTTCTAGTTCTAGTCCTGTGATGGGAAATCTTCACTGATCCAAATAATTCCCTATTCAAATATTGCAGTATCTGAAATTTTACCATTAGAGATTTATTCTTTGAGGGCGGAATATTTCCTGCTAATCATGTTTTTTCTTAATGCAAAGACTCCTGTTAAGAGGTTGGACATAAACTAAGTTATCCTGATCAGTGACTTATCATATGAATATCCTGAAGAGAAGTCCTAAGCCCCTGGGGGAAGGGATGAAATCATGAAATAGGATAACACCTTGGGAGCTTATAGGAATAGCAGCTGGAACAGTCATAAGAAAGACAAACTTATAATATTAATACTTCACAAAGTTGCCTGACACTGGCCATGGAAAAGGCTACTGATATTATGTGTTTGTGATCCAAGGTTGTTCCCTCAACATAACACATAATCAAAAAAATTGTTAAAGGATCCATCTGCAAATTGTTCTTTATACAAATAAAAAGGCGAGCCTCTGAAAAGTTTTAACATTACTGTCTCTAGAACTATTTCTGTACTACAAAACATGTCATAGGTACAAAAACAGTGTCTCTAGACCCACTCCACTCCAGTTTTTTTTTGCGTAGACTTCAAAGTAGACTTTTCCAACAGCATATTACATGGATTTAAGATTTTTAAAAAGCTTATTATTGAGATATTGCAGATTTTAAAGCATATTTTAGGTTTTCAAGTTTATAATAATCTTTCATAACTAAAAATAGGAGCTTTCTTTTATTCTAATACAAAGACCCAAATTCTCTCCATTTGTTCTATGTATATTTTAACCATATTTTGAAATTCTCTTAAAGCACCATTTCCATTTATAATGCTGTATATCTCCTGGATAGACCCAAGACTCTCTCTATATATATATGTCATTAATAAACATGATCTAAGTATAGGGGAGAGAGTTTGCCCTTTAAGTACAAAATCATTGGTTTGAAATTCTAGATTTTTCTTGAGCCTTAAATTTTTCAACAGGAACTTCTTAAAATTTGAGAAACCCTAAGTAAGCTTCTAGGTAGTAGCTGCGAGAAAAAAACTGGTGGATTGGGGGTGAATTAGAGTGGAGCCTGGGGTACTCAAAGGGGAGGTAAGAAGGAGCAGAAACCTAAGGCAGAATTGGGACAAAAAACTTATACCTCCTTCCCTCAGCTATTTCTTGCTTTGTTGTGTTTGATCATTGAGATTTGGCTCTAGCTGTATTCCTTCACACGTACGTGTCCCATAAGAATGGTTCTGTTTGAAATGAGCAAGTTGATTTGATTCTTTTCACCTGAGGTAAGGGGCCTTTTCCCTCTTTGCCACAGCAAGGTGAAGTCAGATTTGATTTCTACCTAGTGGACTGGAATGGGGAAATTAGCCCATTATGGTTGCTTAAGAATTAATAAGAGTTACAACTTACTGAACTCCTACTATTTATGAAGTAATCAGTTGGACTTTTTGCAGACACTATTTTGTTTTATCTATACAACCATCCTATGAAGTAGGTATGAGTATCCCTATTTTGCAGATGAAGAAACAGACTCAGAAGGGTTAAATGACTTGCCTAGGTCTATACTGCTCTAAGGGCAGAAGTTACCCTGAGAACAGCCCATTCTGGCTTCAAGGCTGGTGGCCCTTTTCCCACAATATGCAACAACACAGGGGAGTCTGGAATGCTGAGATGGTCTTCCAAATCTCTGGCAGTGTCTAAAATGTTTATCTTACTCAGCTCTTGCTTATGCAAAGGATTTCAGTTCATTCCTGCCCCAGAATAATTTCCCCCTGGGAGAAAGGAGTTTGTTATTGTATATAACTATTCATTTCTTCTCACATTCTTTGTTCCACTCCCCTCCTTACCTCTTTAGATCAGAAAGGTTTATATAAAGTCAGTAGATCATTTAGACTACTATGAATGTTCCTGGAATTATTTCCTTTAGAGTACTGGAAGATAGAACCAAATTATTGCTGTCTTCACCTTATTACTTTTGAGCTATCTTTTGATATTTCAAACTTGCACTACTCCTGGAAGAAACAGTGGAACTGCTTATGTTATAACTATGATTATATTGAAATTTTTAAGAACTTTAGAAAAAGATGGATAACCATAATTGATCTGAAAAAGAAAATAAAAATTTATCAGTTGTGTACCCTATATTCTTGAAGACCTGGCAAATCATAATAACTTAAAGCTAAGGATAGGATTCCAAATACTACTTAAGTTATTATGTAAATAACCACTCCCCTAACTTTTGAAAAATTAATGAGAAATAACATTTCCAAATTCCATCCATTCTTTTTTTTCTCTTTTTCTTTCCTTTCTTCCATTGATTCAATAAATACTTATGGAGTCCCTACCATGTTCTAGCCCTATTAAATTTCTATAATCTGAGGTGACCATATGATCACTGAGCCCCAATTTTTTAATATTCTATGTATACTGAATACCAAAATACTAATTAAAAGCACAGATAGAATTAAATTTCAACATCATTTTCATTAATTATAGAAGACAAATACATCAATTTATGAAAGGACCATGTTTGGGATAAGAGAGATGATGTCTTCCACCCATATATATGATATCCATAATGGACAAGATAGCTATCAACACAAATATAAGGCTTTCGGGGGAAATAAGTATCATGAATGTCCTTTCCACGTAAACTCTCTGCTCTAGGTCTTTATACTCCAGCCTCGTCCCATTTCCACCTCCTTCCATACTCCTATTCTTCCCCTCCAAATCCTAGATGCTCTAAAGGCACACTGTCTTCATTGATATTCATGAAACTTTCCTTAGTCCATGGTGCTCTAATGCGTTTCTAAATTTCCAAAGCACTTCTAGTCTTTATCCCACAATCAGGCACTTGATTTACACACTGTGATATTGTTCTTGGATTATTAGTTATGTGCAGCCTGCCTCCTATACCCAGTGATCAAGTTCTTTGAGGTAAAGGTCAATGCCTTCTACTTCTTTGCCTCTTCCTAGCTCTTAGTTTAATTTGGGAAAACATTTAAATTCTCGTAAATCTGACTTGAGAAAAGAATCAAAAACATTGAAATGATTATTTTCTCAACAAGCTTTTGGATCCTTTAGCTTAAGATGTGGAAAAATAAAGGATGCTAAGAAAAGAGTCAAAAAATATAAAAATATTGGAAGAATGATATAAAATAAGAATTGCTAGAGCAATAAGGATTACTTCTCTTAAAGGAACAAAGACTAAAGTTTTGAATAATATCTTCTAGTACTTTAATGATTCTCATACATAAAGTGGTGAACAGTTATTCCCTGACAATTTCAAAGACAATATAAGAAATAACTTAAAGTTATCTAAGAGGGATTTATATTAGTCTCTATTCACTCCAGATAGTGGAAAGGCTTTAAATCTTAAGTTTTTGCCTGATTCTCCAACTATGAGCTCTAGGTTAGCATAATAGTAGTCTGTTTCATTCTGTAGAATATGTCATCAATGAGGCATAATCTGTGGTTCTTAGATGTCCCTAAATGCATCCTTCTTAAACAGCTTCTCTCTTTAGAAACTCTTCCATAAGATACACATCAATGAAAAAAAATTAGATACCCTCTTACTGTGATGTGAGGGAGGGAGCTCACTCTTAATCTGTATCCACCAATAAGAATCTCCTCTGCTTCAGAATCTGAGATTCAAATTTTTTTTTAATGTTGTTGGCTTGTGGTAGATGGTGTGTTAGAAAGACTTAGAGGCCTTGAGTGTGTGCTCTGGCTTCAGAACTTCTAAATACATAGGCGAATGACATAATTTTCCTAAGCTTCACTCATTTGTTTTTAAGCATCCTTATTAATCAGCTATTGTATGGCCCTGGGAATTGGTAGTAAAAAAGACAGACAAGATGCATGTACTTTCACAGACTATACAGACTAGTGAGTGAGACTTGGTTATTTCATCTGCAAAATGGATATGGTAGCCTATTTGTCATCATTTCTACCAAGTCTGCACATGTGTTCCTCTTCCTTCTCTGTCCCCTATCTCATTGACTGGCACCATGATTCAGAAACCTCAAAATCATCCAGGACATATAACCAGATGGTTGCCAAGTCCTATTTACTTGAAATCCCTCCTATTTCTTAAACCCATTTCCTCCTCTCCACCCTACAGACCTTCTCTCATCAAAACGCACTGACTCCTACAACAGCTTCCTGCTAATGTCCTGACCTGCATTCTTAATCCCCTTCCATCTAACTGGCTCACAGCTTCCAGACTGAACTTTCTAAATTGAAAAATCAATATATCGATTGGGATGCTTTTGCTTGAAAAATAAAACAGAAGAACCACCTCAGAATGGCAGTAAGGGGATTTTTAAAATTCACTTAAAAAGAACTCTGGAGTGGGTGATTACAGAGTCCATAATTCATTTAACCACATCAAGACCTTGGTTCTTCACAGCTTTCCATGTCCCCATCCCAACATATTGACTTTTGTCTTCAGGCTTGTCCTTTCATGATCCCGAGATGACTGCAGTTGCTCCAAGCAACACGTTTTCATACATTGTGAAATAGTGGAAGAAAAAATGTCCATAATTGATATCCCCCCTTTTTTTAAGAGACAGGGTCTCACTATGTTGCCCAGGGTGAAGTGAAGTGGCTATTTA